GAGAGAGAATCGTGGATCAGCTGCCTTCTGCATGCCCCCTACTGGGGATCAATCATGTGCCTTGACCAGGAATTGAACCATGACCTCCTGGTTCATAGGTCGACACTCAACCACTGAGCCACGCCAGCCAGGCATTTTTTGGTTAGGTTTTATGAATTAAATTTCTTTAATACACATAGGACTATTCTGTTTCTATTTCTTCTAGAGTCATTTTTGCAACAGCAGGCACGACTGGCTTATTGAAAACACTTAACCACCTTGTTTGTGGTAAAGACCTATTGATCTGGGGGTACTCACCATGTGCTGAACGTTGTGTCCGACCTGCACAGGCATCATCTGTAGGTGTCACCATTACTGTCTCTGTGATACAGCAATCGGCATTTCTCCTTTGCTTCAGCACATAAGCTTCTTCTGAAAGTGGTGGAACGGCCGAGGACCTCTGTGCTGGCGACATGTAGGATGGAAGGCAGACGACACCTTGAGGTAAGTTCTCAGCCTGACAGAGGCCTATTTCCCTGAGCAAACACTTAACAACACCCTTCAAGCCAAAATCCTGGAGCTAATGTAGAAGGGTGGGCCCTGGCTTTTTTCTCTGTGAGCCACTTTTCTCTGACTGGGGCTCTTTTATTTTCTTAAAAGATGTTTTATTGATTTTGAGAGAGAGAGAGAGAGAGAGAGAGAGAGAGAGAGAGAGAGAGAGAGAGAGAGAGAGAGAGAGAGAGAGAGAGAGAGAGAGAGAGAGAGAGAGAGAGAGATCAGCTGCCTCTCATGTGTGCCCTGACCAGGAATCAAATCCGAGACCTAGGTATGTGACCTGACTGGGAATCAAACCCGCAACCTTTTTGGTGTGCAGGACAATGCTCACCAACCAAGCAACCCGGCCAGGCTGGCACCGCCTCTTCTCTTATCCACTCGTCTGTCGATGGATACTTAGGTCGCCTCCCCATCTTGGCCACTGTAAACAATGCTGCAACGATCACAAAGCTGCATGTCTTTACTTTCGCTTATTTACTTATTGATGAGAAACATCCATTTGCTATTCCATTTATTTATGCATTCATTGGTTGCTTTTTAAAAATATATATATTTTATTGATTTTTTTACAGAGAGGAAGGGAGAGAGACAGAGAGCCAGAAACATGGATCAGCTGCTTCTTGCACACCTCCCACTGGGGATGTACCCGCAACGAAGGTACATGCCCTTGACCGGAATCGAACCTGGGACCTTTCAGTCTGCAGGCTGACTCTCTATCCACTGAGCCAAACTGGTCAGGGCCATTGGTTGCTTCTTGTATGTGCCCTGGCCAGAGATCGAACCCCCAACCTTGGCAGATCAGAACAACATTCTAATCAAAAGAGAGAGAGCTACCCAGACAGGGCTAGCATGTCTTTTCAATTAGTGTTTTGGGTTTCTTTGGATAAGTACTCAGAAGTGGAATTCCTAAGTTCTTTTTGTCTGTTAAAGCCTTTGTTTTAAAGTCTATATTTTGTCTGATATAAGTATTGCTACCCCAGCTTTTTTTTTTTCCAATTCCATTTGCACGAAATATCTTTTTCCATTCCTTTACTTTTTTTTTTTAATCCTCACCAAAAGGATACTTTTCCCACTGGTTCCTACAGAGTGGAAGGGAGGGGGAGGGGGGAAGAGACAGAGAGAAACATCGATGTGAGAGAGATACATCCATTGGCTACCTCCGGCATGTGCCCCTACTGGGGCTGGGGAAACTGCAACTGAGGTACATGACCTTGCCTGGGAATTGAGCCTGCAACCCTTCAATCTGCAGGATGATACTCTAACCACTGAGGAAACTGGCCAGGGCTCCATCCCTTTACTTTTAACCTGTGTGCATCTTTCAGTCTGAACTGTGTTTCTGTAGGCAGAATATTGGCCAAATAAAGTTGATAATTTTGTATGGCCCTCGAATAATGTTATAAAAACCCAAATGGCCCTTGGCAGAAAAGAGGTTCCCCACCCCTGCTCTAAATCTTTTCTCAAGTGGTGTACTTCCAGCCAGGCCTGCCCTGACCACCCTATTTAAAATTGCAACCTACCTGCCCATCTCCTTTCCCTTGTGCCTTCTTTTTGGTTGCCCCAAACACTTACCTGTCTTTAATATACTGAATAATTTACTTTATAACATATTTACTGTTTGTTACATACACACTTTTTTCCTCCCAACCTCCAAGAATGTAAGCTCTATGAGGGCAAGGTTCTTTATTTAGTGACTAGAGGCCCAATGCACGACATTCAGGCATGGGAGAGGTAGTGGGGGGAGTCCCCTCAGCCAGCCCTGTGCCCTCTCGCAGTCCAGGACCCCTCGGAGGATGTCCAGCTGCCGGCTTAAACCCTGGGAGCAGGCCTAAGCTAGCAGGCAGACATCTCCCAAGGGGTCCTTAGTGCTGCCACCACTGCGCTTGCCAGCTGTAAGCCCAGCTTCTGGCTGAGCAGAACTCCCCCTGTGGGAGCACACTGACCACCAGGGGGCAGCTCCTGCTCAAGCGTCTGCCCCCTGGTGGTCAATGTGCATCATAGCAACTGGTCATTCCAGCTGTTTGGTCGATTTGCATATTAGCCTTTCATTATATAGGATGCATTCCACACTCCAGGAACAGTACCTGACACATGGTCTGAATGAATAATGTTGTATTGTTCTTATAACTACAAACGTAATGTACAAGACACCCTATTATACTCTGTGAGTCCCCGTAAGTAAGGAATGAAGTCCCTTCACAGTCCCACCCAATTCTCCAGTCTCCCAAGCCTTCCGGACCTGCCCTCTCCCCGCCATCAACACCACCGCCCCCCCCCGCCGCCAGCCACTAGGAGACGGAGGCCCGCCACCCCCAAAGCACAAACACTAGTACCAAGTGACCCGCGCGGCGCCCACGTGACTGGCGTCGCACCCGGTGAGCGTCACGTGACGGACTCAGCTTTCCTCCAATCGTTGTGCATGTTGTGGAGATTCCACCCAGGACCCGGCCCGAGATTTAAAACACCCGATTCTCCTGCCAGCCAAACGGGCCGTCCTCCCGCTCCCAGCTGGGCAGTGGGGACCTTCAAAGGTCCTACTCTGGAGTGGCACCGGGAAGCCCGGGCCTAGAACGCGCTCGGTCCCGGAAGTGACGTCTCCCAGAGGGGCCGGAAGTGGCAGTGGAGGGAGGGAAGATGGCGGAGGTGGTGAGTCCGGTGCCCGGGGCGGGGCGGAGGGAGCCAGGGGAGGTGGGTAGAGCCCGAGGACCCCCAGTAGCCGACCCTGGCGCCGCGCTGTCTCCCCAGGGGGAGATAATCGAAGGCTGCCGCCTGCCGGTGCTGCGGCGGAACCAGGACAACGAAGATGAGTGGCGTGAGTGACGTCGGGGGGCGGGGCTAAGCGACCCGAGGGCGAGGGGCGGGAGGGAGTCAACCGAACCCTCGGGAGGAGGAGGGACCTCGGGAATTCTGGGGCGGGCGGGGCGCAGATACACGGGAGGGGCGTGGCTTGTCGCGGCCCCGCGATGGGTAGGGCGGGGCTTGCAGGGGGTGGCACTGGGTGACAAGGGGCTTGGGCGAGAGCTGCCTGGTGCTGGGGCTTAGAGATGGGCTTGGGAGTGTATTCAGGTCGTAGAAGGGTGGCGCCTCCGGCCTGACCCTTCCATGGCCCCTATGCTGTTCCCCAGCCCTGGCCGAGATCCTGAGCGTGAAGGACATCAGTGGCAGGAAGCTTTTCTACGTTCATTACATTGACTGTGAGTGCCGGGCTGGGGGAAGGAGGGGCCGCTGGGTAGAGTTGGGGGATGGTCTCTGGCCTTCCTTCCTGAGCCATCCCCACTGCTGCAGTCAACAAACGCCTGGATGAATGGGTGACCCACGAACGGCTGGACCTGAAGAAGATTCAGTTCCCTAAGAAAGAGGCCAAGACCCCCACCAAGAACGGACTTCCTGGGTCCCGCCCTGGCTCTCCAGAGAGAGAGGTGGTGAGTAGGTCCCCCACTTCACTTCTTCTCTCCTGCCTCCTACTTCTCTCATCTCTTGGCTTCAGTGGTTCCTGGATGGGCTGGAGGCAGCACCCTCCCATCCTGGTTTCGGCTTGCAGAGGATGGGGACCAAATCGCAGATGTAGCTTCCAGAGTCCAGCGGCTATGCCTGTGTCCTTGAGAGGGAGGGGTTTGATGACTCCATGCTGAGGGGCCCCCACTCCCTTGCCCCGTCCCACCACCATCCCCACCCCAGAGGAAGACCCTGGACCTATCTCTACAGCCGGCCTCCGCGCAGGCCAGCGGGAAGACCTTGCCAATCCCGGTCCAGATCACACTCCGCTTCAACCTGCCTAAGGAGCGGGAGGCCATTCCCGGTGGTGAGCCCGACCAGCCGCTCTCCTCCAGCTCCTGTCTGCAGCCCAACCACCGCTCAACGGTACCCTCAGCAATTCCAGGGACCTTGCTTTCCTCTCAGGTCCCACCTTCTCTACCTTCTGACCCACCTTTCTTGGTTTCTCTCTGCAGAAACGGAAGGTGGAGGTGGTTTCACCAGCAACTCCAGTGCCCAGCGAGACAGCCCCAGCCTCAGTTTTTCCTCAGGTGAGTCCTCCAGACCACTTTTTCTCCCCTTCCTTCCTTCTACCTTCTGGTAGCCCCTTTCAGACGCATCTCACAGCCACTTCTGTTCCTGTCATCTCACCTACAGAATGGATCAGCCCGCAGGGCAGTGGCCGCTCAGCCGGGACGGAAGCGAAAATCAAATTGCTTGGGCACTGATGAGGTAGGTCTCGGGAAGAGGGAAGCTGAGTAAAAAGGAAGGGACATAGGCAGGTGGAGAGTTTAGTGGCTAGTTTAAAAATAAACAACAGTGGTGTGCAGCCATGGTGGTGCTATTAGGAGCTAAGCCGAACTGGTTGGCGATCTTTCCAAAGTTTTCAATGAAAACTTTCTAAATCTTGGTTTCTTTATCTGGAGGGTGGGGGTTATATACCTCCCCCACAGGGTTGCTGTTAGGCTTGAACAAGAGAACGGGGGGGTGGGGGTGGGCGGGGGGCAGTGCTGTGTGAGCTGTAGTCTCCTGTAACCCAGTGCCTTTCACTGGCCCTGGGCAGGACTCCCAGGACAGCTCAGATGGAATACCATCAGCTCCGCGCATGACCGGGAGCCTGGTGTCTGACCGGAGCCACGACGACATCGTCACCCGGATGAAGAACATTGAGTGCATCGAGCTGGGCCGGCACCGCCTCAAGCCGTGGTACTTCTCCCCGTACCCACAGGAGCTCACCACACTGCCAGTCCTCTATCTCTGCGAGTTCTGCCTCAAGTATGGGCGTAGCCTGAAGTGTCTGCAGCGTCACTTGGTATGAAGGGTCCCAGGTACTGCCCTACTGCTCCCCCATCCTTCGCCACCCCTGATCCTCCTCTCTTCCTCAGACCAAGTGTGACCTGCGACATCCTCCAGGCAACGAGATTTACCGCAAAGGCACCATCTCCTTCTTTGAGATTGATGGACGTAAGAATAAGGTCAGTGGCTGAGGCACTGGGAGTGCCTTGGAACTTGGAGTTTGGGGGAAGTCAAATGAGAAGCTTCTTCCTTAGAAAACACCAGTCTGGCCAACAAGTTGGTTCACCCCATTTTTATTGAGTTCCTGATGAAGGGCAGGTGCTGGGAGATATAAACATGACCAGGAATTAGACAAAAGTCTCTGCTGAGAGCTCACAGTCCATGGAGAAAACAGCCACACCAATTGCCACTTTATTTTTTTTTAATCCTCATCCAAATAACATTTTTTCCATTGATTTTTAGAGAGGGAAAGACAGAGAAATGTCAATGTGAGAAACACATTGATTGGTTGCCTCCTGCATGCATGCTGACTGGGGCCTTGGTCAGGGCGGAGCCCTGCAACCGAGGTACGTGCCCTTGACTGGAATTGAACCCGGAACCCTTCGGTCTCCAGGCCGACGCTCTATCCACTGAGCCAAACCAGCCAGGCCCCATGACCACTTTAGATCTCCCAGTGTGTTAAGTATCCTGAAGCAAAGGGTGGGTTATTAGGACCCGGAGGAGGTAGTCACCAAAGCTTCACAGAAGAGGTGACTTTTGAGCCTTGACATGAAGGACAAGGTGGGTAAGGGACTGGCAGGCAGTGGGGTGCTGATGGGCAGGCGCAGATGTATAGTGACAGTAGGTGTTGGAGGGCAGAGAGGATGAGGGAAAGCTGTTAGCAGGAACAGAGCTCAGGAGGTGGGACTGAGGCCAGTTGGGGAGAGTTGGGGACACTGTAAGTTTGGAGCGTCAAGCCTGCTTTAGCCTGTGGTTGTGGGGAGGAGGGGTAACCTGGAGGGACCGTTGAGAGACTCCCCCATTCCTGGGGCCTGGAAGGTGGTGAGGGAGAGGGAGAGGCAGGCAGGGGAGAGCTCTGGCTTCAGTGCTGGGGGAGCTTGAGAGGAACAGCTGCTTTAACTACTGTTCTGTGTTAAGGGTGGACTTGGCATCCAGGTGGCAGTGCCCAGCAGGGAGTTAAAAAGTCATGTCTGAAATGCAGGATAAATTATGTGCGGAGGTAAAATAGCAAAATTAGTAAGTTTTTTGGGCAGGGGGCTCCTGAGGCTACTTTTGTAAGTTCCAGAATGCCTGACCTCAGTTGTAGACAGTCAGGTCAGTTCCCAAGAGGTGTGACTGTAGGCAAAAGAATTGTATTTTTTGACAGCCAGACTCCTAAGACTGTCACATGGGCAAGCTGCTGTCACAAGCCTCGTCAGTCTTCTTGGTACATGTCAGCTTGCTGACTGTTGTTAACTAGAGGGGAGGGCAGTGGAGGTCCCCCAGGGCCAATGGGCTGGTCCACGGGCTTCTCAACACTGCACAGTAGCCCTGCCTGATGGAATCAGTCGGGTCTCAGGGAGGAACGCTTGTCCCCTATCGGCCTGGGCTACAGAGAAGCTCCTGGCTGACCCTGTCCCATGGCCATGCTGGAATCCGGGCACCGAGCGGTCACAAGCCTTTTCCTTTGCAGAGTTATTCCCAGAACCTGTGTCTTCTGGCCAAGTGTTTCCTCGACCACAAGACCTTGTACTACGACACAGACCCTTTCCTCTTCTACGTCATGACGGAGTACGACTGCAAGGGCTTCCACATCGTGGGCTACTTCTCCAAGGTGAGCGCATCCTGCCTCTCCCTCAGCCCTGCTCTGCCCGGGCCAGGCCCCTCCCCTCACACTCACCTGCCACTTCTCAGGAAAAGGAATCGACAGAAGACTACAACGTGGCCTGCATCCTGACCCTGCCTCCCTACCAGCGTCGGGGCTACGGCAAGCTGCTGATTGAATTCAGTGAGTACTGCGCTCATGGCTGGGGGGGGTGGGGCGCCAGTGCTCCCATCGCATATGCTGCCTGGCTGTGATTCTCAGCCCAGTCACCTTGGCCAGAAATCAAGACGGGACTCTTCCAAGACGCTTTCATTCCCAGGTTGACTGCCCTGCTTGTTTGGATTAGTTCTCAGCCCCTCACTGTTCCTTGACCAAGGTTCTAAGCATCACCCAACTTTCCCCAAATTTGACTCATCCTGCCCAGGGCCATGAGCTAAAGCCCAGTGAGCCGCTGTTGCTCATCCCTCTGCTACTGTGTTGTCATGTGAGTTCCTGGGTGAGGACCAGTTGTTTCCTGAGCTTGGTAGACAGATGTTCAAAATGCTGTTAATTCAGCAAAGAGGTGGAAACGCTGACTTGCATGGTTATGGCCCATATTCCTTGTATTCTATCAGGTTAGCCTCTTAGAGCCCAGAAGGGACTCTGCCCCTCATCCTTCATGACCTCGTCAGTGTCCCCTCTAATCCCAAGTCTGCTGTCTGCTTCCCAGCCTCCCTCTCCATTCTCTTCAACTCACCATCCACTGAGATAACCAAGCTGAGCGGGAAGACGGGGAGGGAGCCTTAGCTGTTTGGGAAAGACAGAGGCTGGACTTGACCGGGTCACAGCCCACTTGAGAAATGTTGTTGGTAGAACGATGCTACGACGCGTCACATCTTCAGAAAGCCCTCAGCCTGGTAAAGCAGGTGATGCTGAACAAAGTCCTGGAGGTCTCCAGGCCTCAATGACGAGGGGGTGCAGGCAGGGCTACCAAGGACGTGTGCTCAGTTTGGCAGACACGGTGGGAGGGTGGTAGGAGGGGCACTGATGAGGGGCTAGGAGTTCCCTACAGCTGAGGAGGCCAGTGTGGTGTCCAGGTGATCAGTCAGGACTTTACATGCACCATGACCCAGCAAGGTTAAGTAGGAACCCAGTGTGTTCCATCCTCTTCCGTGCTTCCTCTCTCCAAAGCACGATCCTCTGTCCTCAACACTGGCTTTCTGGGTGGAAGTCATGAGGTTGGGCAAGAGGGCCAGACCGGCTGATAAAGACGAACCGAGGAGGAAAGCAGAACGGGCTCTGGTGCAACACAAAGCGGTTATGACTGAGGGTGAGGAAGGGTGGAGACATCCCAGGGCCCTGACGGGCGAAGGCTGCACTGCCAAGGAATGTGAGGCCAGGCAGTGTTTTGCAGGTCTGAGTTCTCACCAGGAACTGCCAGTGGTCAGCAGGCGAGAGTGGGAGGGAGAGAACCGAGAGGGAGGACTGTCTTCCCTGACTTGGGAAGCTCTTTGGTGCTCCTTGCAGCCTCACAACCACCTGGTCAGGTCACAGCCGGGAGCACCTCAGGCCTGGTCCACAGGTGGGGTCTGCTCTGCTTCCCTCCTCACACACCCATGTACAGAGCGAGTGTGGACGGCACAGGAAAAGTGGAGGCACTCTTTCTAGAAGCCATTTTCTCTGCCTCCCCACACCCCACCTCTAAACCCTTACCCTAACCCTACCACCCCTCCTAGCTGGTTGTAGCCATTTCTCTCAGTGCCTTCAGTACCTGTCCCTGTGCTAGCACACAGGTGAAGAGTGTGTGCTCATTAGTCCTTTATGAGGAAACAGGCACAGAGCCACACACCGTCCCAGAACTGCCCCACAGCAGGGCCCGATGGAAAGCAGGCAGGCAGCCTCAGCATTGGTTTCACGAAGCTGTGACCCTGTACTCATTCCCTTCCTCTCCGATGCTTTAGGCTATGAACTCTCCAAAGTGGAAGGGAAAACAGGGACCCCTGAGAAGCCCCTCTCGGACCTCGGCCTCCTGTCCTACCGAAGCTACTGGTCCCAGACCATCCTGGAGATTCTGATGGGACTGAAGTCTGAGAGCGGGGAGAGGCCACAGATTACCATCAAGTGAGCCTGGCCCCGCCCCCCGGGGGTGCATGGCGTGGCCGGTGTTCCCAGGCCTCACCCTGAGCTCCGGGGGCAAAGACGAAGGCCCCAGGGAACCTGGTCTTTGTCCTCCCACAGTGAGATCAGTGAGATCACCAGCATCAAGAAGGAGGATGTCATCTCCACGCTCCAGTACCTCAACCTCATCAACTACTACAAGGTAGGGAGGCGGGCAGGGACAGGTGTGGAGCTGCAGCGTGCAAGCCCACGGGCTGACCTGCCTTGTCCCATCTCCTGCCCAGGGCCAGTACATCCTCACGTTGTCGGAGGACATCGTGGACGGGCACGAGCGGGCTATGCTCAAGCGGCTGCTCCGCATTGACTCCAAGTGTCTGCACTTCACTCCCAAGGACTGGAGCAAGAGGGGGAAGTGGTGACCAGGCACAGCCCGTGGTGGCGCCAACAAAGCTGGCAGCCCATCCACCCCCGCCCCAGGGCCCCCCAGGGGGACACTGAGGGAGACGGACCAGGCTGAGGACAGTTCCGGCCTGGGAAGGGCTGGTTGGTGCCCAGCACCAAAGTGAGCTCAGGTCAGTTCTAAGGCCAGCCGGCTGCAGGCCCGGGCCTGCTGTGAACCAAGGACCAGAGGGAGCCAGGGACGTGTACAGCGAGATGGGGGTGGGGGCCTATGTACAGAGGGTTTGGTGGCTGTAAAAAAATTCGTAAAGTAGGAGTTGGGGGTGGGTATTGGCTACAAAATTCTGGCCTCTCGCCCCAGTACCTGTCCTGCCCCATTCCCCCCGCCCCATGCCCCCTTGCCCCTGTAATAAACTGTTTCTATGGGCCGGAGCCATGACATGTTCTTGTGGGAGAAAGCAGCTCTAAGGTGTGGGCAAACTCACGGATGCCATGGAAGAGCTCATTTATTGGGGTGATGGAATCAGTGGATCCAAAGTGGAGAGCTGGTTTATTGGGGTGAAGGGATCGGTGGCTTCCAGTTTCAAGCTCTGGTTCAGTCCTGTGGCACCTGTGCATGGATCTGCAACAGGGGTCACTTTTACTACTGGATTTCTGAGACGGGGTGGCTGCGTGGTCCACCTACTCTGGAGGGACCCAGCTCCCCAGAATGACAGCCCTTTCTAGCAGGGCGGGGGGCGGGAGGGGGGGGGCACAGCCCTAACCCAGTCTAACCTCCCAGTTAGAGCCCCATTGTACCAGCAACCCTAAAGCCCAAGGCCGCGTGGGGCGGGATTCTAAACAAACCAGTGAATGAGCCAGAGGCGGCCCACATATCTACTCACCGCTTGGGCGAGGCTGGGCCAGGTCAGGGCCGCACGCACTTTGGCATCCGGGCCAGGGACGGTCTCCAGGCCCCACAGGGTGAAGCGGCGGAAACTGGCGGAGGCGCCCATGAAGCGGTCCTGGGGGAGGCGCCGGGCTCAGCGTGGGGCCGCCGCCCCCGCCCGCGCCCCCGGCCACCCCCAGGCCCCTGTGCTCACGAAGTCCCGCTCCAGCGCCTCCGGGGGTTCCACCAGCTCCTGCTCGTCACTGTCCGATCCCCCTGGGAAGTCCTGCTTCCCCAGCGACTTCTCTTCCATCGCCATCACGTATCCCAGCAGGCCGGGCGGCACCTCCACCTCCTCGCCCCGTAGACGGCGGCCCCGAAACGACACTTCGAGTCCTGAAGAAGGGGGTCGTGGGGCCTCAGTGAGGGCCTGGTCCCTGCCCAACGGGGCAACCCCGGGGGCGGCTCTCCCGCCACCTCCGGTGGACCACGGTTCCCAGGAGCCCTCGCGCCCGTCCTCGCTGGAGAGAGCGCGGCGCCGGCGCGGGGGCTACCGGGAGCCGTAGTCCGGCCGCGAGCGCTCACCGTCGAGACCCTGACGGATGGCCGGGGTGAAAAAGCGCCCCACAGGGGCGGGCCGGTTAACCCCGACTTCGCAGGGCAGAAGGTGCAGCGTGACCGGGGGGGCGCTGCGCAGAGTGACGGGGCGTAGGTGGATGCGGTGCTTCTCCACGTCTTCCTCGTCGCCGCTCTCCATCCTCCTCGGGTTCCGTGGCTCCCGGACTGAGGCCAGAGCTGGCGCGTAAAGCGCGCGAAGCCTGTCGGGAGCCCTTGGACAGTCAGCGCAGAGCCTCCTGGGAAGCGTAGTTTTTTTTCTGACTCTTGCAAGCCCCACCTTCTGTGTAAGTCCCAGTTTTGTTTTCTTCTTGAAAATTATTTTTTCTCTTTTTAAAACATTTATGCCCATCTGGTGTGACTCAGTGGCTGAGCTTTGAACTATGAACCAGGTCACAGCTCCATTCCCAGTCCCAGGACTTGCTGGGGTTGGGGGCTCAATCCCCAGTAGGGGGCGTGTAGGAGGTGCCCACTATGATTCTCTCATCATTGATGTTTCTCTCTCTCTCCCTCTCTCTGAAATCAATAAAAACATATTTTTTAAAAAATTCACTGATTTTGGAGAGGAAAAAAAACAAACTTGTTGCTTTACCCATTTATGCATCCATTGGTTGATTCTTGTATGTGCCCTGACTCGGATCAAACACAACCTTGGCAACCTTGGTGTATAAGGACAATACTCTAACCAACTGACATACCGGGTCAGGGCCTTGAAAATTTTTTCAATGATATATTTTTTAATTAAAAAATGTGTTTTCTATTACAGTTGACATACAATATTAGTTTCAGGTGTAGAATGGTACATTCTTATTTTTAAAAATTAAAATTATTCCCAAAATAATTTTTTTTATATTGACAAAGAGGTTCTTTTATTTTTTATTTTATTATTTTTAAAAAATATATTTTATTGATTCTTTACAGAGAGGAAGAGGGATAGAGAGTCAGAAACATCGATGAAAGAGAAACATCTATCAGCCACCTCCTGTACACCTTCCACCGGGGATGTGCCCACAACCAAGGTACATGCCCTTGACCGGAGTCGAACCTGGGACCCTCCAGTCCACAGGCTGACGTTCTATCCACCGAGCCAAACCAGTTAGGGCTCTTTTATTTTTTTAAAGATTTTTTTAAAAGATATTTTTATTGATTTCAGCGAGGAAGGGAGAGGGATAGAGAGAGAGAAACATCAATGATGAGAGAGAGTCATTGATAGGCTGCCTCCTGCACGCCCCGTACTGGGGACCGAGCCCACAACCCAGGCATGTGCCCTTGACTGGAATCAAACCCAGGACCCTTCAGTCCACAAGCCAATGCTCTATCTACTGAACTAAACCAGCCAGGGCAGGGGAGGTTCTTTTAAATTTTACTAGGGATATCAACTCTTCCTCAAATGAGTTAAAGATATTTTATATGAATTTGTGGTTTGTCTTCCAAACCTGTGTATTTTGATTTTTTTAAAATATATTTTTATTGATTGCAGAGAGGAAGGGAGAGGGAGAGATAGAAACACCTATGATGAGAATCATTGATCGGCTGCCTCTTGCACACCCCCCACTGGGGATCGAGCCCGCGACTCAGGCATGTGTCCTTGACTGGAATCGAACCTGGGACCCTTTAGTCTGCAGGCCGACACTCTAGCCACTGAGCCAAACCAGCTAGGGCTGATTTTTATTACACAGATGAACTTATTTTGTGCAGTGAAATTTACCAATCTTTTATTTTTAGGTCTTTTAGTTTTCATAGTACTTTTTGGGTTCCTTAACTCTTCTCTAATGTTTATTTGTCTAGATATGTTCTGTCAAGTTCCCTCAAAAAACAAACACAAACTGGTGATTAAGATTAAAATTGCAGCCGAAACCAGTTTGGCTCAGTGGATAGAGCGTCGGCCTGCGGACTGAAAGGTCCCAGGTTCGATTCCGGTCAAGGGCATGTACCTGGGTTTCGGGCACATCCCCAGTGGGAGATGTGCAGGAGGCAGCTGGTCGATGTTTCTCTCTCATCGATGTTTCTAACTCTCTCTCTCTTTACCTTCCTCTCTGTGAAAAATCAATAAAATATATTTTAAAAAAATTAAAATTGCATTTAATTCATAGATTTGAGAAAGAGAAAAATATCCCCCGACATCGGGAGCTGGCTTTGGTGTTCTGTTGAACACAATAATTCCATTGATTACCAGACAAGGTCATGAGGACCAAAAGAAAAACAAGGTCACTCTGTAATCTTGTGAACTTGGACAAAAGCAAAACTTGTCCAAACCACAAAAATGATGGAACATCCCTCTATCTTGGACTATATGTGATTTGCTTCTTTACCAATTACAGCTTTAGCCTCCATCTAGTGAAGATGTTAACGTTATTCCATCATAGAAATACTCCCACTTCCTAACAGCGTCCAATCCAGAGAAAAGCGCTGCTTCGTTAAACCCTCCCCCAAATCACCTAACACAAGCCGGACCCTATAAATGCTCCCTAACACCCACTTGTTGAGATGCCCCACAGCGTAAGAGTAATAAACCCATTCACTCACCTACAGATGTGCTCCTGGTGGTCTTTGGCCGGAGAGTATTGACATATTAATTTAGAGAATCTTGTTTTAGTTTTCTATCAAGAATAAGATACATAACCCTGGCTGGTGTGGCTCAGTTGGTTGATCGTCATTCCATGCACCAAAAGGTTGCTGGTTCTGCTCCTGGTCAGGGCACATGTCTGGGTTATGGGCTTAATCCCCAGTAGGGGATGTGTAGGAGGAAGCAGCCAAATGATGTTTCTCTCCCTCCCTCTAAAATCAATTTTAAAAAGTTTAAAAATAAGATACATAGTACCAATTACATCTTCTTTTATGTCTGTACAGTTGAGGTTTTCTTAATACACAATAGTTTTTATTTTTTTAAAAAGTGTTTTAATTGATTTTTACAAAGAGAGAAAGGGAGATGGATAGAGAGATGGAAATATCAATGAGAGAGAAACATCATTGACCAGCTGCCTCCTGCACGCTCCCCACAGGGGATTGAGCCTGCAACTCAGGCATGTGCCCTGACCAGGAATCGAACCAGCGACCTCTTGGTTCCTGGCTTGACGATCAGCTGCTGAGCTACACCGGCTGGGCAATAGTTATATTTTAAAGTGTATTCCTAGATCTTTTTTTCCATTTTACGTACTGAGGTTGGCAGACCTCACATATGGTCTCTGTCACAATTGCTCAACTTTGTCATTGTAGCATAAAAACAGCCATAGACAACATGTAAATGTCCTGCACACCCCCTATTGGGGATGAGCCTGCAACCTTGACTGGAATCGAGTCCACATGCTCTATCCACTGAGCCAAACCAGTTAGGGCCCAATAAAACTTTATTTGCAAAATCTACCAGCGGGAAACCAAAGCATTTGTGTGACTCACTTTATTGCAATATTCGCTTGGTTGCGGTGGTGGAACCAAACCCCAGTATATTCAAGGTTTCCTTATTTTATGTCATTCAAAGAATGTGTCCATTTATCAGATTGGGGACATAGAGTAGTTCATAATATTTCATTATCCTTTTAATGTCCATGGGCTCACTAGTGATGACCCCCTTTCATTTCTGGTATCAGTAGGCTTCTTGGAATGGGTCCAAAGTGTAATATTAACTGTCCTATGAATGCTCACCAAAGACCACCTTCTGCAGGTAGAAGGCACACCTTCCTTTCCAAATCATGCCGATCCTTGCCCACCAGGCTCATGAAAAAGGTCGCCAGGGGAGGACCTGGCCAGGTAGTTCATTTGGTTAGAGCAGGGGTCCTCAAACTTTTTAAACAGGGGGCCAGTTCACTGTCCCTCAGACCGTTGGAGGGCCGGACTATAGTTTAAAAAAACAACTATGAACAAATTCCTATGCACACTGCACATATCTTATTTGAAGTAAAAAAAACAAAACGGGAACAAATACAATATTTGTATTTGCATGTGGCCCGCA